GCGAACAGGCGTGGGTGGAGAGAGGGAAAAAGAGGGGGGGGGGGGGGGGGGAAATAAATCTACCGCCTTCAGCAACCCACTGAACTCTACCCTGCACAAGAAAAGTGACATCTGGAATCAAGCTATAAGGAACACTTCACCTTAACGTTCATTTAAAACAGGGATGTCCATACTCCGGCCCTCCAGCTGTGGTGAAACTACAAATCCCATGAAGCATCTCTCTCCGGGAGTCATGTCTGTGAGAATCTTGCAAAGCCTCATGGGATTCGTAGTTCCACCACAGCTGGAGGGCCGCAGTTTGGACATCCCTGATTTAACCCTTTCGCTACCACCGCCCTAAGGCATACGTCGGAACAAAAGTGTTCCCGGCTGGCCAGCTCAGTATGCCTTATGTCGGTGGCATTTACAAAACTGTTTCCCAGACTGTCCCCTTCAAATTGATAGCTGAAGGCAGCCGTGTGAATAACCGACCCAAAGTGAAGTGAGCTGTTCGGCTATTCACTTCAGGCTTGTACAGCTGATTTCAGCCGTACACCGACTGAAATCAGCCGTACATCGGCTTGCTGCGGCTGGGTTCGGGTCGGCCGAACACGCTGAGCAAAGTGCAGAAGGAGTTTGACTCAGCTGATCCAACATCTGGATCGGCTTAGCCGAACCTCCGGCGGGCTACTCGTTGTTCAGCTTATTCTCATAAACAGCAGTGAGTGAATAGCCGAATGCCGCCGATCACCTCTGTGGTACCGAGCAGAATAAAACATTTTTTTTTTAAAGGAGAAAATGATTGGGCGGAGCTAGCAGTGACAGCTAGCCCTGCCCAACTGTTTTCTATTGGACGGGACCAGCTGTCATTACAATGAGAGCTTGTCGGAGCCGGCAGGGATATCAAAGCCGCCTCCGACAAGCTCTCATGACAGTTCAGCGTACCCTGGTCACTAGGTAACCAGGGGATGCTGAACTGTCATTACATACTGAGAACCTGGCGGAGCTGCCATGATATCACAGCGGCTCCGCTGGGTTCTCAGTGTAATGACAGATCAGCGTCCCTGGTAATCAGGGGACACTGATCTGTCTCTGTATGCAAGTGGCCGGATCCAGCCGTGAGATGACGGCTGGCTCCGCCAAGCTGTCAGTAGCAGGTTGTCGGCCGGCCATTTCAGCTTCGGCTTTCATCTCGGACCAGTCGAGCCGAACCATATGCCTTAAGCTTGGCTGAGCCGCTCGGCCAACTTCGGGAGCTGTACAGGCTATAGTGAATAGCCCGTGCAGCAGCCCTTCGGTTCTACTGAACTGAAGGGATCATGGGGCCGAAGGATCAGCCAATGCTACGGTAGCTTCGAGATTTCGCCGCAGCCCCCCCCAACAGTAACAAAATAAATACAAAATGTTAAAAAAAAATTACAAAAAAAAATTACAAAATGTTAAAAAAATAAAATTATTTAAAAATAAATAAAAAATTTGTAAAAAAAAACACAACCCCTCCCTCCCCCCACATAACATACACATATTGTGGTGTACACCATGCACATGTCCCTGGTAACCAGTGCGTTGTTAGAACGCATCTCAGTGCATGATTTTTTTTAATTTAATTTTTTCTTTTAATAAAAACCATGAAATTAACTGTGGCCACGCAAGGCAAAGCGTTGTGACGCATTGCCATGTGTTGTGATACCTTGTGGTGCAATTAAATATACGCCTGTATCATTTTATCACAACACCAACACAGCGTAAAAACAATTTTTAACATAAGTCTCTTATTTACAGTTTTGTGTACCTTAATTTTTTTACGTTTTCGCAAAAAGGCGCAATTTCAAATTTGCAAATATTTTTTATTTATTAACTCAATACAGTTTTTTATCTTTTAGATTTAGTCCGAAAATGTTTTTGTTTTGTGCACGGATACTGATTTTAGTGTGTTTTATCAATTGAATTGTGTATTTCTATCGGTTTAATATTAATTTGATAAACATTTGCGCAATTATTGCAGGGCCTACAAATTTTGTATCACCATCTTTTTATTCTACCGGGCCTGCGCTTTCGGAAAATATAAGGCTTGGGGGGTCTTTTACAAATGCTAGCAACACAGCAGTTGAAAATCAAAACAATGGGAAAAATTGCAAAAATGGCGTAGCCAGCTGATTTGAAAAATGTTCTGGAGGGCTTGGCAGCGAAAGGGTTAAAGGATGACTACACACTTCTTACATTTATCCAAAATGATTATTGTCTTGCTAATAAATATAATTATGTTCCTCTAATGCTGGGAATTCAATTTGAGAAAGCTAGGCCGGTTGCATCCTATGCTTTTATTTAAATCCTGAAGCTGTCACTTGGACCTGCCCCTCTGGTACAGTGGTGATAAAGGGAGGTGAATCTTATTTTGTACTCCTTTATTCACAGTAACTTCTCAAGGAGCTGTATAATTAAAGAAGGGCAACAGATTTTAAGGCTGGTATGTTTTGAAACAAAGGTTCCCGTCATGAAATATTTATATCTGCAGTAAATACAGTAAAGTGGAAATCCACAATGCACATGATGTGGCCCCAAAAAAAGCTCCTTTTTTTAGTGCTTTTTTTGCTGCTAGACCCTTCAAAATAAAAGGCTCACTAGATGTAAAATGAGCTATAACATTTTTTATTTTTCATTCATTTTTTTTTTTACACTTTGGAATGTTTTTTTCTGGCCTCGCGTGCTTATGTCCTTCTCTTCTGTATTCCTATTAATAGTTTTATATAAATACTTAAATACAAAAATATTTTTTTTTTCCCCATAGGAGTGGATAACGGAGAGGATATTCCAAGGGATCTGCTTGTTGGAATATACCAGAGAATCCAGGGTCGGGAGTTGAGGACAAATGACGATCATGTATCTCAGGTGCAAGCTGTGGAAAGAATGATTGTCGGAAAGAAGCCAGTAAGAATATGACCTTAACTCTGTACTCGTTGTTTTCTGACTACCTAAACACCTGTAATAATTCTTCTCTTGACACTTTTGTCCACCCTCCGCAGGTTCTTTCTCTTCCGCATCGCCGTCTGGTTTGCTGCTGCCAACTTTACGAGGTCCCAGATCCAAATAGGCCCCAGAGAATGGGACTACACCAGAGGGAGGTCTTCCTCTTTAATGATCTTCTGGTGGTGAGTAAGGCTTTGTTTCATCGGAGTACGGCGAATACAAATCGTTCAGAGTCAACCGTAACGTAAGGTCTTTCATCATTTCACAGATAACAAAGATTTTCCAGAAGAAGAAGATTTTGGTGACCTATAGCTTCCGGCAATCATTTCCTCTGGTGGACATGCAGATGCAGCTCTTCCAGAACTCTTGTGAGTCGTGTTGCCCATAAAGAAAAAGATTTGAATCAATACAATTCTACTAAAGCTAGTTGTAGAACAGGATTTTGAAGTTTCAGTAAGGAGTTTAGATCTAGACTTGTTGATCTGGAAAGGTGACCATAGATTTTGATTTTCACTCTTAGGCCTTGTTCACACCAAATGCAAAGCAAATCCGCTCAGGTTTCTGCACACGCACACTAGTCTTTTTGACGCGTTCCAGATCTTTTTTTTTTTCTTTTCAGGAAGCTAACAATGTTATGAGGTCATTTCCTTTTACCTCTGACCTTTCATTAGCTGTTCTGATTATTATTTCCTGCTTCCTCTGACCTTGTCTCACATGTAAAATTGTTGCAACATGGATCCATGGGATGCAGGCATGCTCCTGGTGATGGTTATTATACTGCTACGCCAAAATGCTGTAAGGAGACGTAGTTTTTGGGTGCACCCACTGATAAATGAAAGAGATCCAAAGGGCCAGCATATATCTCTCTGGGTCACAAAATGTGTCCACCATTGTTCCTTTGCTCTCCAGATCAAAAGGTCACCTTTTTCAACAAGCAGGAAGTGACCAAGGAAGATTAGGTCATGACCGATGACCATAGAGTTTTTTTTTTCTTTATGGTTAGTATTTTTCATTGAATTGCTCATTGCGTTTTGATGCGTTCCAGAGCAGGTAAAATAGGGCACGCTGCGATGTGAACTGGAGCAAAAAATACCATTGGAATACATTGGACGCAGTTTTGATCCGGTCTGCAACTGATCTGCTCTGCACCTGCTCCGCGCTTGGTGTGCTATTTAGTGCCACGCAGATGGCCAGGCCCTGGATATAACTAGCAGCATTGGTCCATTTCAAAAGACCATGTGGCCATTTACAGTTGAATGCGGGAACATTTGTAGGCACTTCCACGGTCGGCTGGGATTGGTTAATATGGCCAGGTATTGCTTTCCCAGATAAAGTTTTTCCTCTCCTACTTTCACCAGTGGCATAAAGAGGCATGTTGACCTGATGTAAACTTGTACAAAAATAATTTGGTGCCACCAGCCACTTCCTATTGTTTGTAGGTGCTTTAGGTCTGAAGGGCTATTTTTATTTGTAAGCATATGGTATCCATTAAACGGAATTAGGGCTGGGGAAATTAACGATTAATCCCTCGATTAATCGTCAATTTTTTTGATCGATCAAAATTATTTTGATCGGTACTCACCTCTCCGTCGGCTTCCGGGTCTTCCGTCGGAGATCCGGTGACGTCACGGATATCGACGTCACTGGGTCGAATGTGTGGACAATTTTAGCTGTCAGTTGCCTGAAATATACTAATGGCAGTTCCCTGCAATAGAAGAGGTAATATACTCACCTCTCTGTTCAAGTGCTGCATCTTCTGTCAGTTTCTTCAGCTTTCAACACTTCCAGGAATGTTGGATACCTGTATCCCTCACTACACACTGTGGTTTAATCCTCCAACCCCTACAGGACACAATATTGATGTACGGGTCTGTGGATGGAACCACAGTGTGCAGTGGGGTACAATCCCAGAAGTGTCAAATGCTAATGAGCCTGATGGAGGCTGCAGTGCTTGGATGGAGACAAGGGTCACCGGATAGGTGAGTATATTACCTCTTCTATAGCAGGAAACTGCTAATAAGATTTTTAATTTTTTTTGTAGGGTGACTGACTGGGTCAATTGTCTTGTCCCCTTTTGTTCTAAATTTCTCCTAGCTTTTGTCACCCAAAATCTTATTTCCATTATGCCATCCCTTGCCATCTCACGTTACTCCAAATTATACCCATAATTACCTGAAGGGGGCAATATTGGTCTAGTAATAATTTTGGATTTGTCTTTTAAACTTCTGGACCATGTCATTAGATGACCTCTTCACCTGAAATTAGTAGAGATACATCACTTTAAGAGATAGCTAGCTACTAGTCTGTCTAGTTCCAGACATTCAAAAACCTCTCTCTCTTTAACACAATGGAGTATATAGAAAGTTTCCCGACAGACCAAAACATCTTTCTACACATCACTGAGGATGATGTAATTTGTGCTAAAAGTGTGGTTAATTTAACTCAGTCATGATGATAATAGACTGAATGATATAATAATGTTATCATTATAAACATTTGTAATGCAGAAAATACCATATTAATAGTATATGTCAATTAGCCAAAACATCTAATATATATGGGGGGATACATATTGATGCAATAGCATGATGAAAACAAAATTACTGAATTAGGCAAATATTTAAATTCACCTTTATTCTACAGAATAAGAGAACAACATAGCTTCCAGTGTGCCCCTGTTACATTATGTATATGTGCTAAGTTTAGGCCTCACAGTTTTTCTGTGAGTTCTTAATATTTGTGACAGTACAAACACCTGCCAATGGTTTGAACATTCTTTAGTCTAATCTATCCAAAATGTGTCCCAAAAAATAGATTTTAGCTATACAGATAATAACAGTAAATAACATTCTTTTGAATGTAGCACAGCAAGTTCCCAAAACAAAACAAAACAACAACAACAACAACAACAAAAATATATATACACACACACACTCAAATATTGCTTTTCCACAAGCTTTGTTTTTTAATTGTTAACTATTGCATCAGTCCAATTTTAGGGCTTGGTTACACCATGTCCGGACCAGATCTGCATCTGTTCTTCCGACACGGTGCAGCACTTTTTTGTGCTTTCTGTAGTAGTGGTCTTTTAGCTTCAAATGGGCTTTCAGTTGCAATCTAGTACGTGTGCATGCGGTTTTTAATGCATTTGGTGCGTACCAGACCCCCCAAAAAAGCACATGCAACAGTTTTTTTCTCTGCACTCGTGTTTGAGCAGAGCCCAGAAATCCCAGGAGTACATTGGGATGCATTTCAGGTGCGGACAAACAATGTTCTTGTCCGGACATGGTGTGAACAAGCCCTTACTGTTGTGCTCTTGTAATCTTTGGGCTGAATGAATAAGATGGCTGCATATATATACCGGTAACTGTAATTTGACTTAAATCTTAATTTAAATCAGATTTTTCTCTTCCTACCAACAGATTACCAGCACGGAATCAAATTACTTTCCGCAGCCCCCGGAGGCGAGAGGAAGGTCCTAATTATCTTCAATGCTCCAAGCCTCCAAGATCGCCTGAGGTTTACCAGCGACCTACGAGAGTCCATTGCAGAAGTTCAAGAAATGGAGAAGTACAGGGTCGAATGTAAGCATATCAGCTCTCCTAGTAGACTTCCCTACCCTGAACCCCTGTCAGTTAAAGTAGAACCGTGGATTTCAAAACACATTGCCTTGTTAGCATGGAAAGATGCAGATAGCTTGTTAGGAAAAACAGACTGGCTTAACACCTTCTTCGCCTCTTATTCCGATCCTGAGGGAGGAGGCCAGATTTTCCTCTGGTGACCTTTTGAAATTGCGGCATCAAGCTTCGGTCCGAACAGGTTTGATCCATCAAATGGAATGCGGCACCAGTTGGTCTTTGACGCTGAATCCGCTATCCATGGGCGCAACCACAGTGCTCTTCTAGAGGTAATGGTAGCAAGCATTGATCTCGCTGTACATCGTATGATGTCTTTGGCCGCTTCACTGATAAAGTCACCCGCCAGCTCCAGCTCCTGCAGAGCGATAATTATGTTCTCACGACTGACCTCTGAATTGAGGGCCTGTTCGATATTACCGGTCTAAGGGGAAATAGTGTGTGAAACCGAAGTCAGAGCGATAGCCGGGCGATATGCATTTCCCAAAGCCAGGTACGCTTTCTTCATATCCAGATCTGCCTTTCGATCAAGGGGCTCCTTAAAGGAGACTGCATCATCCTTTGGCAAGGTAATATGCCTTGCCAGGCGCATCACCGCCGCGTCAACCAACAGAGGAGAGTTGAGATTAGGCGATTCATCTTCCTTAAACGGGTACAACTTCGAAATGCGATTGTTTACATTCGGTGCCTTCTCCGCTCACTTCCATTCCTCAGTAATAAGCTCCTTTATCTCATCCATGTAAGGAAAGGTAGCTGTGGACTTTTCCAAATGTGGGAAATACCGCCTTATCTTGGCCGGCTCCACAACAGGGTCCTCCCAGTCTATTGCTTCCTTAACAGCCGTAATGAAGGGCTCCACAAGACCTGAAGTCAAAGCCAGAGGGACAGGGATGTTCCCCCATGCCAGAGGTGTCTGATTGTGAGCCGTCCATGGTAGGCTCGGTAAGCTGTTGAGACGTGGATGGCCCCTCCGGATGACCACTCAGACCGCCATCTTGGCAACAGTCTCTTGCCGACTGTAGAAGAAGAGATAGCGTATTCGTGAGAGGAGTGGGTGTCCTTTGGGTGGTCTCGGTGAGGCAGGACTGGCAGATTTGCCAGGCAGCCCTTGACCACCACACATCCAACAGGCTTTCACCTCTGGGCGATGATGGTGGTGTGTGCGGTGAGAGATGGTCTCCCTGCGACTGCGCCTTGAAGCACTTCTCCCTCTTGACCTGTTGCGTCAGGGTGAGGACAATCTTGAGGAAGGCTGTCTGTGTTCTTCGTGAGGAAGGCTGAAATCACAACATTGTCATGAGAAACACACCTCACTGTCTCTTTAAGGCGTCATCAGACCATACCCTTAACTCTGTGCAGAGGAAGTATCCCTTACAGCAGCTTTCTCAGCCATTCCTAAGGGAAGAGTATAGTATAGTATCTCCTTGTGTTAGGCTGTATACAGCCTAACACAAGGAGATACAGAGCAAGCAGAGAATGTGCGAGTAAAAACAAACAAGAAAAGTACTCACTGGAGCAGGTCAGGCAAATATGGAGGGTCCGCAGGCGCATGCGCGTCCGAGAGGCTAACGGCCGACATCTTGGAAATCCCCGAAGCCAGAGGCTTGGAACTTCATCACTTTCCACTGACTTACATTATTTACTGGATTTCAGTTTACACCCGTTCCTATTTAGAACCATTTCTGGTTTTGAGAGAGGCCTGGAACCTAACTCTTCACTTCCCATTGACATACAGTATATATTTGGTTTCAGTTTACAACACTCCCTGGGCACAAATAACTTTTTTTTTCTCTATTTTATGAATTTCTTTGCAACACAAAGTTGTCATTTTAAGTAGAAACAGCTGCATTTTGACAGCCGCTCCTGCTATGCGGTACATAATTCGGGACGCCCCTGCATAACATATCTCGGCTGTGATTTTGCAAGCTGGACATTGCTGGTAATAGTGGTGGGAGTGTGGCAGGCATAGAACATTTAGCCTCCAAACTTGTTGAAGTGCTTTCTGAGCATATCTCCTATCCCAAAGGTCCAAAAACTGGTAAAACCAGTTATTTGACAGAAACAAATTACAATGGGAGGAATTTATCAAAACTGGAGCAGATTTGCACTGCAACCAATCAGCTTCTCTGTCTCATTTTCAATTCTTATTTGAGCAAACTGAAAAGAGATCCTGATTGGTTGCCATGGGCAACTGCTCCAGATTCTGCCTGCTCCAGTTTTGATACATTCTCCCCATTATGTTTCACTCACTCAGCATCTTCACCAGCTTTTCTTCTTTTAATTTTTTTAGCGGAACTAGAGAAGCAAAAGGGGGTAATGCGGCCCAATACTTCTCCCGGGCCAGGGATGAAGGAGGCTGTGAACGGCACTCTGGGACGACCAAGCCTGGACGACTCATATGCACTAGGCGAAGGATTGAAGAGAAGCGCACTAAGCAGCTCATTAAGAGATCTCTCTGATGTCGGTGAGTATTGTTCTAGCACCACCAATCAGATTTAATTTGTTTGCACATGAAAATACTCATCCCACGCTTGCATATGTCTGTCATCATTGAGGCAAGAACATAGCTTATCTGTAACCAATAGAAAATAGTCTTTGTAGAGCAGCTATCTTCAAAACACGAAGGTAAACTTGTGTAGCGTTATAATCATTGTGACTTGGCACATCACCTTTAGAAAATGTTTAAAGCGTGCCTGTAACCAGCACAGTGGAGGTGCCATTTTGCTGGCCGGAGCTACGTTTTAGATTGCAGCTTGTTGATCCAATAGGAACGTAATTTGTCAGACAGACACAGTATTTTGGATGTTGCTGTTATTACGGCTGCCTTTATTGCATGCTCCCGCTCGTGACCTTTCACTGCTTCTCTCAACATTTCCACATCCCTAATGGGATAGATATAGGTTTACCCTAAAATCTCCCATTGTTTATCAAGACTGCAAGACAGTCCTCGCAACCGTGATCACATTTTAATGGTGTCATGCCATAGGCTAAATTTGACGCCGTTAGTTTTTTTTTTATAGCTAGCAGCCGTATTTTGGTGCAGTAGCAGTGGCCCTTTGCTATTAGTCAAGCAGTTCAAAGAGCAGTGTAGTAGGAGCAGAAGTTCCATCAGTCAGTCCAAGTATAGGAACTGCAGTTGTTAATCACAAATCACATAATGCATATGCCTCTGGAAGTCATGCCTCTGGCTGTCCGTTTGGCAACACCACATGGGACTTGACATTCCACGACACCTGTCTTGCCGAGGTTGTCTGCATTAAACTGTTGTCCTTATGCTTGCCGAACCGAGTAAGCTGAGTGGGTGCTGCCTTGCCAGCTTGACAGCAGCACGAAAGCAATCAGTAGACCTTAAGGCTGGGTTCACACCTAGGAGTATCGAATATGCGCGTCTGTCGCGCTTTTCGTGACACGCGTTTTTACCGCGATTCTGAGGGATACTTGGCTGTATCCCAATGGAAACGCGCGACAAAAACGCCCCAAAGAAGCTCCTGTACTTCTTTGGGCGTAGGGCGTTTTGTAACGCGTTCATACGGCCTGTAATACGCCCAGGTGTGAAACCATACCCATAGGAAATAATGGGATTTCGGTGTTTGATCGTTTTGCAGAGCGTTCAAACACGCTACAAAACGCCCAGGTGTGAACCAGGCCGAGAAGGAAACCTATAGAGAAAAAGCCTTTCCGTGTCTGCCGCATACTAACTGAGGCAATGTTTCAGAATCTGACAACCTGAGCCGGCGCCTCAGAAAAGTGTGCAGCAAGCAAAGACAGAATACGTGATTGTTGCAGGTTTTGTATTTTGAAATCCAGGCGAGTATATTTTTTCGGAGTATTTTTTAGGAGGTGTCTGCAGCTTTCAGGTTTTCTTTAAAACTGAAGCACAGCCAAAACACATACACAGTGAAGCTTGTGTACCTGTCCAAGGCTTTGTTTTTCTGTCCTTCCGCTTTGGAGATTGTTTTTCTGTCCTTCCACAACTCGATAGCGACCTAACATTTCTCTACAGCCTCGTCTCTTCCCCCAGCATAGGATTAGACGGTGATATCGCCTCTCGCACCTTAATCCTTCTGCTCTCTCCTCCTGTCTGCACATTCCTAGTCAGCCCAGCTTGATAGCAACTCTCTATGTGTCGTATAAGACACAAATCACACTTATATCATTCTTAGCGCAACATTAACGTTCCCCTCTCTCCCAATGAGGGGAAGGTTAATGAGGGATAACCTTGCAAAGAAGTGTAGTGCTCTTGGCATCGACGCTATGTGTGACACATTTTCATTTTTTTAAGCTGATCTCTGCAGTAGTTTGCCGAGACACGTGGAAGGAGTTAATACATTGCGGGCACTGGGGAGCCAAGTCAGATTGGAATTAATTTATATTGCTAGTCCAGGGAACAAGGGGATAGAACCATATTGCTAACTAAGCAGAATAGAAGCCTATTATTCATTTTTTTTTCTCAACTGTGAGCTGCATTATTTTTTGGTTGTTTATTTGTTTTTTTAAATAAAAAAAAACGCAATAACAGACCAGTTTTACACGATCGACAGTGTGATTTTATACTTGCTAAATGATCTATGCTAACACTAGCTAAATGTGCTCATCGGTGGCGTTGTTCTGTGCAATACTTTACGTAGGGGTTTGCCGCCACCTAGCGGAAATGCTAAAGCACAGTAAGCCATTTTCAGATCACGGCTCAATGGCAGGAGTTGCGTGGGCAGACGCGTATGTAGCTTGCCGCTAGAGAACTTGCAGTACAGAAGGCAATTTCTCAACAGCTTGCATTCCCTCAGGGTCTAAAAGATGTGCTTTGTATCTAGGCAGCATGCCTTGTATTCTGCATTTTCATATTTCTCACCATTTTCTACATTTGTCTACCTTCTACTCGGTGTATTTTCATTCCCATGCGCACGCATCTGTCCTGGCTTATCTGTATCTATCAGTTAGTCCTACCTTATTTATCCTATGGTATCTCCTTGCCCACCTTTTTGACCCATCACGTCTTCCTTTTTCTTCTTCCTCCTGTCCCTTAACGCTTGCTTGTTACTAACTTTGGCGCTTAGGTAAGAGAGGAAGGCGTAACAGCGCTGGATCTCTGGACAGCACCATTGAAGTAAGTGATAAGATCCAGCCGCATGTTTGTGCTTGAACGTGTGTCCAGGAAGTCTGCCGTACAGCTTAGCTGGGTTAGTAGCTGCTATGTTTGTTGTTATCGTTTTACAGATTGAAGGTTTTGACCACAATTAACTGATATTTCATGTAGGGACCGGAAGGTTGTATTTCCCCTCCTATGTTTTTGATTCTATGTATTGACAAAGTTAGCGGGAAAGTGTGAGGAGCGGACAGATCTTTTGAGTTCTCAGCTCCACCCACTTATCACTTTTCAGGGTGATTATTTTAGTTACGTTACTTAGATAAAAGCCAAACATAGACATACGGCGTTAGGGCTCTATCAAAATTGTGATCCCGAATACACCGGCAATAGGAAAGCTCAAAAGACCACTTAACTAGCGTCACTCTGGCTGAAATGCTACAGAGTCTCAATTGCCTAAAAAGGAGTAGAGGCAGAGCGGCAGCAAGCAAAGGGAACATTATAGTAGCAGGCGAATGCTCTGTAAGCGTGAGACACATCTCTTAGAAGTTGTAACATGCTACGGCCAGCCTAGCGAGATTTTCCTGAATCTTGCAGACTGTGATTCAAGCCACTGGCATCTCCCCATAGCCAGAATATCAGTTTGGATGGACTGGCCCTTCAATCTAAGAAACGTAGATCTAGCTATGCATGTAGTTGTAATCGATGCATTGAGTCTGCGCTAATTTTCATTGTTTAAATCTAGTTGGCGCTAACTTGCATTGTTTTGTTATATTTTTTTCACTTTCTAGGGATCTATCATTAGCAGCCCTCGTCCTCATCAGCGACTTCCGGCCCCTCCACCTCCTCCTCCTGAAGAGTACAAGACTGCTAGGCCAGTCTCCAACTCTTCCTCTTTCCTTGGCTCTCTGTTTGGAAGTAAAAGAGGAAAAGGACCCTTCCAAAACTTGCCTCCGTCTTCTTTGCCACCTCACCCCCTCACTCCGCCGGGAATTGACGGACCATCCAAGATCCAGGCTCTTCACGCCCAGTACTGCCACAGCCAGGGGCCTCTAGCTCAGCCCCCCCCACCCTATCACTCTCAGCCGCCAGCCTCTGCGCCACCTCAGCAGCCTCCTCAGCCGCCTTCTCATCGTTACCACGTGCCACCGTCTTCGGCTCAGTTCACGCTGCAACGTCCAAACCAGCAAAAGAGACCGGCAGCTGGAGGGCCACCCCTGACTCCCAGCTCCCCCCACCCACAATACACCCTGCACGGCAGACACCCATCCAACCAGCCTCAGTCCCCCTTACCCATGTATGGATCCGCACCCCAGCACAACATGACGCACACCTACCCCCAGCACGTACAACAGTCAATGCAGAAACAGCCCCCCAAGCACTTTGTTTTTACGCATCACCCCTCCCAAATGCCGCCTCAACAGCAGCGCCCCGCACAGTCCCAGTATATTCCACAACATCCGATGCAGCACGGCCAGCATAACCAGTCTCCCTGCTCGCCGTTGTCTCCTATCCCGCCACATCCTTCTTACCCTCCTCTTCCACCGCCATCTCCACACACGCCTCACACACCTCACACTCCGTTGACTCCTCATTCTCCTCTGCCCCCAACATCCCCTCTGCCCCAGCACGCTTCCCATCATCCCATGGGGACAAATGTATCCCAAGGCAACCCTAAACAAAAACCAGTCAACAGAATCAGCACAGTGGTGTGAAAGCCCGGTTGACGGCGAGGGGCCAACCTACGTAGGGAATGCGCAGCAACTGCACCGGGAACGGCACGTACACGGGGGACCGTATCTAAGATCTTGTTGTTCCTGCCTTGGCTAAGTCGACACTCCTTGGCACTTACTCCTTGGACAGAGCAGCATTTCGGTACCTAGCGACACCTTCACCGGAATTCTTTCTGAATTGTAAAGAAAGACGGACAGAGTTCCGAGCCCTGACGTAATTGCCATCTCTGCACAGGAATGTTTATTTTTGTTTTTTTGTTTTTTAATTGTGTATTTTTTCTGTTACAAGGCTCCAATCTAATCCAACTCCAAAGGGCTTAGGAGGACTGTGATCGATTAGCAGAAGGGTGACCCCCAGAGCGATTTCTGTAGTTTTACTGGAGACTGCCGTGGTGGTGATTGTTTGAATATCTTATAGTAGGATAAAGTACCGAAAAGTTGCAGGTGTGTGTGGTGAGAGTATGCTTGCGTATTGTAAGAGAGAATGGGATTACTGCGTCAAGCCGGACTCTGCTGCTACTGCCGAAGGGGCCCGTGAATGTAAGAGTAACTAACCGGGTTGGCTACGAGCGCAGGACTCAGGAGCTTCTGAACAAAGCTGCCGCTTCAATCACCGTGATTGCAACGTGGAATCTTTGTCACATCTTCCCAGTGCCATCTGCCCGTTGTGTCAAAGGGGCTGTGCATTGTATCTTCTAGACTATTATATCGTACACGCTTCCCGATATATGTGCAGTCCAGGGTATAAACCACTAAACGATGCAGGGAAAGGACTTCTTTGACAGAATTAACAGTGTATATAGACCGCAAACAAAAAATGACCGTCCCTTAACCACACAGTTTCCACTTTCTAAACAGAACTGTACAAAGAGATCTATATATGAAAATAAAAGATGTCTATATTAATATATATAAGTATCTTAAAAATATATATATATATATATATAAAGTG